ACCGCGCCCGCAGGAGAAATGTGGTCTCATCTTCCGCCTACCCAGGGCCTTTTGCGTTCGATGTCTCACCAACTGGGGCAATTCGTTTCCGGGTGCGCTTCGGCAAACGCCCACGGCCTCTCCCTCTCGCCCCCCCAAGACCTCTGCCCCCACCAACTACCTCAACTGGCGATGGACGAGCAGCAGCTCAAATCGCAGATGTATAACTGCAATTTCCCTGGTGCGCCACAACCACCACCTTCGAAGGCGGCTGGCCCGATTGGAGTGCCCCCCGCTGCCCCATTTGCATTAGCATGCTCCCCTTCAAAGACAGGAAGCGGCACATAAGTACTGCCCGCCTCAGCGTCGTGTATGATCTGATCTAGCATATAGCGACCGGGTGCACCTGTGGAGGTGAGTCGGAGATGTTTCTTCACCACCAAATAACTGTGGACTTGGCATCTCAGTCTCACTGTTCAGAGACTGGGAAGGAGACCCTGTGTAGCGAAAGTGAACAGGAGACGGGGGAGCCAAGCCTGCGGCAGCACGTCCTGGTGGTGAACTAACCGTCACGGAAGGAGAGCCGTGTACAGACGTTGTAGGCGGACTGAAGGAACTGTGAGCCGATATAGTGTTGACGACACCACCACCAAACCCGGGCGAAGGACTCATGGGAGAGCCCCCTGCATCTCCAGCTCGCTCCATCTGACCACTGCAGTTATTGAATGTACCCGACACCAAACAAGTCCGAGCCGAGCAGGTGGAAGAGGAGAAACGAAGTTGGGAGTATGGCAACGAACCTCGGTACAACGACCTGCCATGGCCATGGCACGTTGTCTCAAACGCTCTCTCAGAGCATCCTCCCCACCTTCGATCGACGAAACAACAATGCCACCAAGTGGACATCACGGCTGTGAAGATACGACATGTTCCGACTCTGTTTCATCAAACTGAGTCTCTGATGTCGTACATATGTCCCCAATCAACGGAAGACCCAGGAAATCGCCGTGCCCATCCATCACTGCAGATACGACTGCTGATCACAGATGTATTCAAATAGTACAGGTAAGCAACGGGCTGACCGCCTGGAAGAGGTGTGTGTGCGTGTGTGTGTGTGCGTGTGTGTGTTGTGTGTGTGTATCAAAGAATGATAACACGTGTATGTGTGACTGTGTTAGCGGATGCGTATCACCTATGCGACTTGAAGTGACAGAAAAAAA